TGTCACGGTCTGGTCCGCTCTTGGGATTTTGCAGTGTCACGGTCTGGTCCGCTCTGGGGGTTCTGGAGTGTCACGGTCTGGTCCGCTCTTGGGTTTTTGCAGTGTTACGGTCTTGTCCGCTCTTGGGTTCTGGAGTGTCACAGTCTGGTCCGCTCTTGGGGTTCTGGAATGTCACGGTCTGGTCCGCTCTGGGGTTTTTGGGGTGTCACGGTCTCTGGGGGTTCTAGAGTGTCATGGTTCGGTCTTGGGTTTTTGCAGTGTCACGGTCTGGTCCGCTCTTGGGTTCTGGAGTGTCACAGTCTGGTCCGCTCTTGGGGTTCTGGAATGTCACGGTCTGGTCCGCTCTGGGGTTTTCGGGGTGTCACGGTCTGGTCCGCTCTGGGAGTGTCATGGTTCGGTCTTGAGGTTCTGGAGTGTCACGGTCTGGTCCGCTTTTGGGTTTTTGGAGTGTCAGCATCTGGTCCGCTCTGGGGTTTTTGGAGTGTCACTGTCTGGTCCGCTCTTGGGTTTTTGCAGTGTCACGGTCTGGTCCGCCCCTGGGGTTCTAGGCGTGTCACGGTCTGGTCCGCTCTTGGGGTTCTGGAGTGTCACGTCTGGTCCGCTCTTGGGACAAAAGCCCTTGGCCAAGAAGATTAGACACTGTTTCTGGGTTGCTGTTAAGGAACTTAAATTAAGTTACCATAATGGGTATATATAGTAAATAATAGGGTTTCCCCCATATAGTAACTTAATTTAAGTTCCTTAACAGCAACCCAGGTTTTGCCTCTGCCCTCAACTGCTGGAATCTTCTCAAAGCAACTCTCAGGCTTCATCTGCAATGGCAAAAGCAAGAAGGCAGAGAATGCGAGCAGTTGCTTGAGTTGGGTTACATAAGGTTTGGGGTTCAGGGTTAAAGGGGGAATTCTATAGTTAAATAGGGGGAGTGTCCAAACGCACGGGGTGGTGCAACCCCCTGCGTAGTGGTTGGGGTTCAGGGCGTTGAGGGCTAGGGTAGGTTTTACCCTAAACCCTAAACCCTGATTTACGGGTTATTCCTACGATCTCCTTGCGATCCCTACACAGCCCCGGGCCATTCTTTGGGTGCTTTAGAAAGGTTCCACATAAGAAATACAGGAACTCCCCAGATTTCCATTCTAAACCCTAAAGTCAACACACTGACCCCTTAACCCAAGACTTCGAAACCCTGGCTTAGGGTTCAAGGTTTATGAACAACCTGTTGGCCGTGGGAGGTTCGGTAGAAGCCTAGACATTTAGAATATCTGAGATGTTTTTGATGGAAGGAATTCTGAACCACCAGAATTCTCGTGATTCCTAGGGATTACCATACCCTCAAGGGTTCTACTCCGTCAACAGCATCGCAAGTAGACCACATCCCAAAGTCCACTGTTTGATGCTTAGGCTCCCAGATTGCTCGGGGCCGTTTCCAAGTGACCCTAAACCTTGAGCCATCCGCCCCGGTAAGCAGGATCGGATGGGTTTTGGACAGTTCCATGCTGTGTCCACATGGAATAGATAGTTTAGGTTTTACCTGTGGGCCCATCTACCTACGCTTTTCGTAGGAATTACCTTCTGATTTGTAGGTAGAGCCCATAATAGGTCATAAAACTAGGTAAATGGAGCCTCAGGTACCGTCCCCTTAAGTAGATAGAATATGGCTTTGGGTATCTTATTATAAAATCCCCATATACCCCGTATTCTATCTACTTAGGGGGGACTATAACCCTAAACCCTAAACCCTGAATAGTAGTTTCCATTTTCTTTTCCATTATCCCGTACAACCCCCTATAATTCTATCTACTGAGGGGGACTATATGGCTCTGTAAAGAGGGGCTCCCTGCGGCAGAGCAGGCCCCAATGCATGGAAGCCCCCATGAGCCCCACTGTTCCAACGATATAATGAGATAATGGAAAAGAAAATGGAAGCTAGTATAGGGTTTAGGGCTTAGGGTTTTCCTACGTGTGCCACGTTTTGCTACACGAGCACATCTTGTTGCAAAGAGCCCTGCCCGCCCCCGAACCAGAATGGAACCCCGAAAGGGGTCCTACACGAGCACATGTCCTTTCAGGGGTATATGAGGTTCCATCCTAGTTCGGGGGAGGGTAGGGGGATGAGGATCTGTGCTTGAAGGAGTTTAGCGTTTAGCTCGAGATAAGCCCCAAACCTTCACCCCTGGACCCCAAGCCTTAAACCCTAAATCTCTAGGTAGTTACCCCAACCCAAAAAATGAGGACCCGTGTGACCGATTGGAAGTAGGATGAAATAGGGTGCTCATTTAAAGGAGTTATCCAACCCTAAGCCCTATGTAAACCTTAAACCCCAAACCCAACATCCGCTTAGTGCTTTGCTGATCCCAGGACATCATCAACCAGCTCCTTCAGTACCACACTGCGGGTTTCAACCACAAGGACCCCCAAGTGGAGGGTTTAGGATGCAGGGCTTAAGGTTCATGGTTTAGGGAGATAGGGTCTAGGGGATATGGGGTTTAGAGCCTAGGGGCCTATGGTTTGGGATTTAGGGATGTAGAGTTCAGGGCTTGGACTTAAAGTCCCCAGGCTCAGGCTGGCAGGCAGATTAGAATCCTACTATACATGGTGGTCTTCTAGTTGGTGTTTATAAGAAAAAAGGTCCACGATTGAGTAGTATTTTATTTGGGGATACTATGGTACCCAAGATAGAGTAAGATTCTATCCTCCTTTTAGGGTACAGTATTTTATGTAAGTAATATAATCTTACTGGGTTTAACCACCAAAAAACCGCTACTCAATTGTTTTTCAGGCTTTGGATCAACTGCAAATTTCCCAGAGGCCATCTCATTTGAAGATGTAGGATTTGGAGTTCAAAGCTTCACTTAGCCCTAAACCCCTAAACACCTAAACCCTAACCCTAAACCCTAAACCTTAAGGTTTACAGTCTAGAGTTGGGGGTTCAGGGTTTTGGGCTTCGCATCTCAGATTTTGTGTTTGGGGCCTGGGGTTTTCGGATGAGGGTTTTCGCAGCGTGCCGTTGAGAATGGGGGAGTGTTTAGCCTAAATGGATGGCGATGGAAACAGTACTTGAACTAGCCGCGACAGCCTTAATCACTCCGATCATTTTTGATTGTAACTCTCGAGCTCTCTCTCTCTCCCCTTGCCTCTCTCCAGGTAGAGTTCTAGTTCCGGAGCAAGTCAGGCCCCGAAACCCTAAACCCCTAAGCCCTAAACCAGGCCCCTAGATGTCCACCTCATGTTGGCCTTGCTGGGGTCGATAGAGACCAGAACCCAACCCAAACCCTATACCTTAAATAGTAGCTTCCATTTTCTTTTCCATCATCCCCATATAAGCCCTATATAAACCCTATGTAAGCCCTAAATAAACCCTATATAAACTCTGTATAAACCCTATATAGTCCATCTTCTGCTGGGCCAGCTCGTGCTCCCGAGACCTGCAAGTATCCGAGAAGGCTGATGTTTTTTTCGCACTAGCTTTCCTAAACGATGGTCCCTGTTAAAGAGGGTTATAGAGGATGTGTAGGGTTTAGGGGTTAGAGGGAGATAGATCCTTAAGGGACCCCGAATGGAGCAGACCCTCTAGGTTAGGTTCCCTTTCAGCTTCCGTCGTGAGTGTCCTTCTTGGGAGGTCTGTCCTATTGGGCCCAAGGCCCTAGGAATCTACCCTACCTGGACCCCAAAAGTATGTAAAATAATGGCCTTTACGGCAATTCTTGTGGGTTCTGGGCTATTATTTTGCCTATTTTTGGTGTTTAGGTCCTACCGAAGGACTACAATTATCTTGTGGGAGTAGCAGCGCCTGAATTTTCAGAAGAGCTGCCTATCTTGCTGGCTGCTAAACCCTCACGCCTGAGACGTATACCCTGGAACCCTAAGCCTTCACCCCTAACCCTAAGCATCTGAGGATTCATATTTGAAGGCCTTTGGCCCCAAAGACCATACTAGATAAGGATTTTAGGTGATTTTGATGCTTAGGGTAAGAGGTTTGCAACTTACCTGGAACTCCACGCAATTTTGGCAAGCGTTTCCAACCTGACACAGGAGTGGAACAAGCTGTCCGCTGTGGCCTTAGCAATCTGATGGTTTGGGTTCTTTCCGAAGTCAAGAGGATGCAAGGCTGGCTATGTCATCCAGACCCACACTAGCAGTAGAATAGCAAAAGCAGCAGTAATGATAATAGCATGATGAACTGGGTTGCTGTTGAGGAACTTGAATTAAATTACTATGAGGAACCCCTATTATTTACTATAGACTATAGACCCATATTATGGTAACTTTCAGTTGCAAGTTCCTTAACAGCAGCCCAGCAAAATAGGTTTTGAGATTTGGAGATGTGAGGCCGAGACCTTAAAGCCGAGGCTTTCTCAGGGTTTGGGGTTTAGGGTTGAGGGTTGAGAGTTTAGGGTTTAGGGATTAGGGTTAGGGGTTAGGGTTTATGGATTAGGGATTAGGGTTTAGGGAGAAGGGTTTAGGGATTGGGGTTTAGAGTTTAGGGATTAGGGTTTAGGGTCTTTTGGGACGTCAGGGTTGATTTACAAGTCCTTTCGGGAATGTACTTAGGAAATTGTAGGTGTACAAGGGAAATTTTGGGGGAAACGTATTTTCCAGAAGGGCCCCTTCGGAAACAGGAAAACCCTAAACCCTAAACCCTCAACCCCGAACTGAGATTAATTCCTACTTGCAGCTTAGCCTCGGTCTTTGTTGAGTCCAGCCTCAGCACCTCAGCCTCTGAACGAACCCACACAAGAGCACCGGAAGGAAGTCATGTTGGGGCGTCAAGTCAGTTGGGATCCCTTCTGACATTTCTATTGGATAACACACCCCCACTCCTTAACAGTTGGATAACATTCATAATATGAGCCATAGTCTAAACTCCTAGTATCCCCCTTAAGAATCCCTATAATGGTAACCCTATATAATCCCTATATAAACCCCTTTAAGGAGTTTAGACTATAGCTCATATAACCGTATCCAGTCCTTGTATAGCCCCTAATATAGACTGTTCATGACTGAGGGATGGTGGGGGCAGGACCCAACGTGGTTTAGGGGTTTATAGGGTTTAGGGTTTAGGGTTTAGGGTTTCGGGTTTGGCAGGACCCAACGTTTCTAGATCTTAGGGGCAATGTTCTTGGGTTTCAGAGCTGTATTGTCAACACCTCATGAAACAAGATTGCGCCCTATTCCACCCCCCTTTGCGCTGCCAGATATTCACCCTTTAATGCAATCTCCAAAAATGCAGAACTCAAAACTCCTAACCTTTGACTGGAGACTCTAAGCCCCAAACCCTAAAACCCCAAAAGCGCCTTGCAGCGGAAAGGTGGAAGATCTCAGAGAACATCTTGACCTGCGCAAGTTGCCAAAGGCGGATGCTGGTAAGATTTGGGGTATATAGGTTTAGGGTTTGGGGTTTGGGATTTGGGGCTTACAGTCTAAGAGTCTCCTGTTGGGGTTCAGGGTTTGGGGAGTTGCTATAAATAGGACTTTGGCTTTCATTCTCTCTGGGGGGTTTGCTGCAGTAAGAATCCCCCCGGGCCCTGTCTACAGCTGCAAGACCCACCCATTTTGAGAAATGCCATCTTTTTTGGGACGAATGACAACCTGCCTAGAGGGTTGAGGTTTAGGATCCAGGACGCCCAGAGAAGGTGTGGTATGTGCTATTTGTGGATATTTGGTTCCCCCTGGAAACCTTTGGGTCCATAGAATCGCATGACTTCCAGGATTTACGGGCCTTTTCCTTGCTGGTTCTTCGTCGGGAATAAGGGAATAGAATCCTTCGTTAATCCCCATATGAACAATGTATTTCCTGATTCCCTACTAAACCTAAACCTTATATAATCCCTACACAATCCCTATATATTTTATGAATATTCCCTTGCTCCCTACCGCGAACCAGGAAGTAACCTTTTGCAGGATATCCTCCAGTAAGAGCAGCTCTCTGCGCATGGAGCAGAATCCGATGTTGAGGGAGCATTGGGGTGGAATCTACATGAACTATAGATTAGGTGGACCCCCCCTCCAGTAACAGTAACTAATTATAAGGGATAATAAAGATTATATGAGGGTGGTCTTATTTTCCAATTATGCCACTATTAAAGGGTGCGGGGGTCCTCCTAAGCTGTAGTCTAAACTCCTCCAAGGGGAGGCGAGTAATCTAGGGGACTTCTTAGGAGTGTAGACTCAGACTATAGAATGTAAATACATGGGAGGGGAGGAATATGGGGTGGATACTAGGAGTTTAGACTCAGACTGTAGAATCTACATGCTAAACTCCTCAGGGTGAGGGGATACTAGGAGTCTAGACTATAGAATCTACATGCTTGGGGATATAAACGACTTCGTCCTGTTGGTACATTGTGGATCACATGCAATGTGCTTGAAAAAATGGGGCCTCCAGCATGCCGTCCTCCACTCTTCACATCCATTAGCCCAAAACCTACGTTTAGAGTTTAGGGTGTAGGGTTTTGGGTTTAGGGTCTAGGGTTTAGGGCTTGAATCTTTGTATGGAGCCCTGGTACAATCTTTGCAAACACATCAGAGTTCTATACACCCTGGCCGCCCTGACCACAACAATGTCCGGCCTAAAAAGCTGCAAGGGGGCTCAAAAGGTGTGATGGTCGGCGGGCGAAAGGATCCCTAGTTGTTGCTCTACAAAATTGGGGTTTCCCAAAATTAGGGGTACCATTTTTGGGGGTCCCAAAAAATGAGGACTATCGTATTTTGGGGTCTATATTGGGGTCCCCCTACTTTGGGAAACTACTATATCGGGGCTCATTTCCCACATCCCACCTTCCTTTTAACCTTCTTCCTGAACCCCAAGCTGTCCCTCCGAAGCTACCGAGCTTAACCTGTAAGCTATAAGCCCCTGAACCCTTGCGGTTTAGGGTTTAAGGGTTTAGGGTTTAAGGCTGACCTTTTCTATCCTTATACTATCCACACACTTTAAAAACCCCATACCCTAAACTTCTTCCAATCAACCCTAAGCCCTAAGACCTCAAAGTCCTTAAGCTCCCGACCCTATGGGCTTAGGGTTTAGGACCCTGAGACCTCAAGCTGCTACTCCCAAATCCTGAACCCTCAACTCTAAACCCTAAACTCTAAACCCTCGACTCTAAACTCTAAACCCTAAA